TCTGCCCAGAGCACACAAGGTGAGACAAGTTATTGTATGTAAAATTTAGCTGGGGTATAAAGCATAAACACTCACACTTCTGTTATTTAAATACAAATATAATTAAACACTGACATTAAATTAGATCTGAGATAGTTCTTATATATTTGTTTCAGTATTCAGTATTGTTTGTTAATGAGATGCACCAACTGTGCGAGGAAAAACTAATCCAGCAGCCCATTGCAACTGGCCAAAAGCCTTTTATCAATTTTAATCTTTTGAGTTATGCAACACTATGGGATCAACGTGTTCTCAAATTGAACAACTTCTCCTGAAAGGTTTAAAGCTTAATTTATTATATTGTTTTAAAGAGGAACTCTGCATTTCTCCTTTTACAGCACAAACAAAGCCTCTCCAACTCACTGGTTGATTACTCTGACCCACAAAGGTAAATACATCAAATCTGATGTGCAATTTTTCGTACAGTAGAAGGTTTCACCTTTTGTCTCACTGCATATTAAATACTACATATTGCATTTTTTATTTTTGCAATTGATTGTTTTCCTGAAAGAGATTTAAAGAACAGTTCTCAAAATACTTTGTTGTTCTTTTTTTTGCATTTCTCTTTTGCACAGGACCACGATTGTACTGGAAAAGCAAGACAATGAAACATTTGGTTTTGAAATTCAGGTAAGCATTATCACATTTTATAATCATTAAGATGAAGTACATATGTATCATTGTCAAGCTATGCAATTTCTTATTCTAGTGTAATGCCCACTCTGTGTTTAAGAAGATTTTTCTGTGGAAAAGAATTGCTTTGGCAGCTTTTGTGACAAAATTGTCTTTTGTTGCAGACCTATGGCCTGCAGCTGAAGGACAGCTCTGCAGTGGAGATGTGCACATTTGTGCGCAAGGTGCAGGAGGACAGCGCTGCTGAGTGTGCTGGGCTGACAGCAGGTGAACGACCCACATCCTCTATACAGGCTTTTATAGGCATACAAAACCACCAGACATTATGGTACCTTTCTGGTGTAGACAGAACAACAGATATATCACTTGCCACACTTGCTACATACCCCCCCCCCCCCCACACACACACACACACACACACACACACACACACACACAAATACAGTGCAAAGCCAAGTAGTCTTCCCTTAATTGATCTCCTGTTCTTCTTTTTTGCATCCTCATTTACTGTAGGAGATATTATCATCACTATCAACGGGGTCAGCATTGAAGGATCATCTCATCAGCACATACTTGATCTGATAAGAGAATCAACCAACAGTCTAAAGTGAGTGACAAAAATAAACGCTTCCTAGACTGTCATGCTGGCACAACGATAAATCCAGTGCACAGAAATTAAGTAAGAGTAAAGTGTGTGTAATTATGTGTTATTATGTGGTTGCAGGATGGAGACTGTGTGTGGTAATGTGGTGAAGCAGATAGAGCTGGAGAAGAAGATGAACCTGCTTAAGGTGTGTCTCTTTGGCCCTGCCCATGTTTGTTGTTACTGCAGCTCTGTGGTTGCATTAAGCAGCATTCAATCAACTGTCACGAAAACAAACAAACCCACTTGGTAATAACGACAGTGAGAAATGACCCACCTAATTACGGGTTGACCTACTTATGCTCCACTGTGTGAAACAGCCTATACCTTTAACAACTAAACCGACACTGCAGAAAAACTGTGTGTTATCATACTGATATTCTGTATTTACAGTTAAGAATTTCACAGGAAGTCAAACTGTTATGTTTTTTTTGCCCATACAGCAATCACTACGCGAGAAATTGATGGAGCTGCAAGCACTTACATTACAGGAAAAACGCCTAATGCGAGGTGAGAGGCTTTTCTCAGCTGTTAGACCACAGCACTTCCTTTCACACAGCCATTGCCGTCTTTCTAGCGACACCGTTTCTGATGTGAATTGAAGTATAAACTTCGAGATAAATTAGACGGAGGAGTTCCCCAGAGAAATTAAGAGAGAAGTTGCTGACGAACATCCTGTTGCAAACTTCTCGTCAGCTGCAACTTTCACTAACATGGACTTTGTTGTGTTTTCAGGCAGCTTGAACAACAGCAGCATCCACCTCTCAATGGACTGTTCATCAATTCTGGGCTCCCCAAAAGGCCGCTGTGGCCGGCGGTTTTCTAGTGACAGTAGCTACAGGAGCGTGATGACAGACGACAGTGACCAGGCCAGTGTGTTTGGGGATCTGAACTCTCCCAGCCCCTGCAGTGCAGCCAGCACCACAGACGACGGCTGCTTCTTCTCCAGAGATTTTCCTTCACAGGACAGCTCCAGCAGGTTTTCATCGACTTCCAGCCACCATCATCAATCACTCAGCCGCTCCAGCAGCTCCAGTTTGGCTGGCAGCAGCAGCTCCCTCTCTCCTTCCTGGGAGGAAACAAGGATCTCCTCCTTGTTTGGTACCCTGCCCCGTAAAAGCAGGAGAGCCAGTGTTCGCAAACACATCTTCAAGTTAATTCCTGGACTCCAGCGATCAGTTGAAGAGGAGGAGACAGGAACAAACACTTAGTGACATGTTTCTCATGCTCTGAACAAGTTGCAGATTTACAGAAGACACTGTAATGTGTTTCCCCAGACTTGAAAGGCTGGGTTAACCCTTTAAAAAATAATGCTAAACATTTGCTTTTAAGGGAGCACAGAGATGACAGACATTGTGGCACTTGGCATTTGTTAATGTCAAAGTTTACTCAAGAGAGTCCTGAGACTTTAAGGTGAGCGTTGCTCACTGTTTGGCTTAGACTTATGGTGGCACAAAAGCATTATGAAAATGTAAAATATTCTCTGTTTGAACAAGTGTTTGAATGAATGTATGCATACAAGATTGCAATGTACGATAGATAAGATTATGTATCTATCTATTATGTACTAGCTTGAATGAAGAACTGTTTGTTCCCTTGCCACAGTGTGATCAGCATTAATCATATCAGTCTGAACTGCAGTAGCTGTATTCATGTAGCACCTTAAATTTTACAATGAGACTACTGTGATCTAAATGAATATGAGAACCATTCACTTTTCAAGTCAGATAAACATTTAAATGGTACTTCTCTCACATTCAGGTGCTGAAAATCAAAACCAAAGCGCTACATTGTATAGATGGCTGCTCAGCTCAAAACAGGATGTGGGTACGAGAGGTACTACTTAACTATTTAATTTCCAAAATTATTTTCAGGCTGTACACAACTTGCTTGAACACTGAAACTGTTCATGGTACATTCTGAATGTATTGAAAAGTGTATGTTTTATTGTAGTGGCAAGAAAATCCATCTATTTTAGAGAATGTCATGCTTTTTTGGGTCTCAAATCCAGATTATATGTATGCATAAAACTTTTTTTAAATAATAAACTTCTGAAGCCTTACAAACCCACCAGTGTTTTCCTCCAATTAGCAGATAACAAAGCACCCTCATTCTAAATTTTCAATTTCAGTAGGAAAGGTGTGACTTAAAGAGTGAGTGGTATCTTCAACCAAGTCCAGTTGCCCTTAATTTTAACCTTCGTTGGATAACTATGACCTGGATGACTGAGAATTTTCATAGATACATTGAAGATTGCTGTGATGATGCAGGTATTACACACAATTTACTCATAAACAGAAACAAATATTAGTAGTGAGAAATAATAAAAATGAAGCTGTAAAACTTGAAAATAAAAAACCCACACATTTCCTGTAATGAGTCTCACTTCTTTGGTTTCCTGCTGTGCTAAAGAGAAAGAGAGAGAGAGTAAGAGCACAAGGGAGACCTACAGTGGGGAATCATCTCATAAATTAAACCGTCTTTTCCTGCAACATCAAACACTTTAAGCAACAACATCATTTAAATCACTATGAAGCAGAAAATCAAATATTTCAATGTGTTCTGCATTCAAAATCCTACATAGGTAAAAGTATTATCAGGTGCTTTAAGCATCAAAAGTATTAGTTCTGCAGTACATTGTTACCTGTAACTGACATTATATTTGATAGTATTAGATTGTCACTACTGATGCATCAGTGTGGAAGCAGCCTTTTACTGGTGTAGCTGTTTGAGGTGGAGCTAGATTTAACTACTTTATATCTAGTTAGTTGTTTAGTTCAGCGGTTCCCAACCTAGTGGTCGGGCCCCTCCAAAGGGTCATAAAATAAATCTAAGGGGTTTTGACATGATTAATGGGAGAAGAAACAAAAATCTGTGCCACAAATCTGTAGTCTTTACCTTTCTCTGCCTTTGCTTTTTTTGTGAAATACTGTACTGGAGAGTTTTACCTCTTGATACCTCAGACAGTTATTTAAATGAAACCATGTGAGAAATGTGTTTTTGGTGGAACTGAAACTACTCACAGACATCTGAAACATAACAGGGAGCCACAGCTAGTTTTTTTTTTTTTACAAGAAGTCACAAGCCAAAAGTTTAATCTAACAGTGAGTTGTATTTTAAAGGCTTATCATATATTTTTATGTAAAATCTGAAACGTAAAAAGTAACAAAAGCTGTCAGATAAATGTAGAAGAGTAAAAAATACGTTTCTCTCTGAAATGTAAGGAACTAGAAGTATGAAGTAGCATTTAATTGACATACCTGAGTTGAAGTACATGAAAATTGCACTTAACTACTTGAGTAAATGTACTTAGTTCTTTTCACCACTGCCTACAGAGCCTCAGTGCTGATGTTATATGTTGAACATATTGTTCATTTTCAAAATGCTATATCAGCATTTCAGGTACCTTACTTGAGATGTAAAAGGTATTTATATATGCGCACCGAGACATAACACGGCTGAGCTTCAGCACATGTGCAAAAACATGGCTGGTTCAGGCGGTGAAATACTGTAAAGAAAGCCTATAGGGGAATGTTAATCCAGAACGAAGGTGGTCACCCAGCAGAGATTATTAAAGAATGTGGACAATCACTTTACATGCAGATGCCAGAGTCACAAAGAGTCTTTGTTGGGGCCACAACAAAACCCCTGTTCTTTGGTGATTCGACACGTACACAGAATTACATGGTACTCGCACTAGAGAGTTTAGAGGCCGTCTGCAAAGACTGAGAGTGAAATGCAGTGTGGATTCTTTCTTCGCTCTTTGACAATGTAGAATAGGAACAAGTATTTCGGGAGCACACTTGGACCGCTGGAGCAGACGATATGAGAATGCAAAGTCTGAGGTTGCATGAATTTTGACTCAACAAACAATCTGTGAGATTGGAGCTTAACAATTTTCATTATCCCAGGGGAACAAAAAAACAGACTGATGGAGACGGAGACGAGCACAAAGCCTCCAAAGGCCTCGAGGCTCACAGCAGAAGATGATGCACTAGCATCCCAGGTACTGGAGATCATTGGAGGGATCACTCTTCAGGCACTCCAGTCCATGGAGGAACCTGAAGAAAGAGATGGATGGTCAATGGAGGAGGGAGATGACTCCGTGTTCTACAGTGATGAGGACCAAGCTCATCAGGACATAAAAGCAAACACATCTTGTGATTTTGGTGCCAGTGTGTGGGAGCATCTCGTCAACAGCGTGGCAGCTGATGAACCAATCCCACAGAGGGGGGACGATCCGGGAGAAGAATCCATTACTGACAGAGAAAAGTCAGAGATGGCAAAGGAAGTGACTCGGCATGTCGTTGTGACTGAAGAAGAGGACCGCCAAGAGCTCCAGATGCCGAAAACTGAACCTATGGATCAGTCCAATCCTGCAGATCCAGGAGCACCGTCTAATCTAACTCCAGAGAAGTCAGTGAGCACCTGCGGACAATCTATGCAACTAAACTGCACAATGGCAGACATGCAAACACAGCCTGAGCAAAATATATCAGCAGAAAAAAGTAAGAGAAATTTACCATTATTGTGTTTGAAAGGGAAGATTTTGTTTACAGAATGCAAAACAGACTTTTGCCTTCTTCCTTTTCTTTTCAGCCAATCCACCAGTTGAGGAGGAAGAAGCGGTGCTAGATGCACAGACATTAATCCTTGAATCCTTTGATGTAACTAATGAGGAGAGTTACACAAGGCTGCACAGTGAGGCAGAAGTCCCAGAGCAGATTTCTTGTGCCGACCTCCAGGTATCACGTGACAGGCAGCTTCAGATGGAGCAGGAGCCAGAGCAGGAGCGCCACCTTCACATCGCTGTGGGGTTTGATCAAAACCCCGGCACAGGCTACTCCACTCTGCCTCTGCCAGAAAAATCTGGTCACGGCGACGGCCACCAGAAATCCTACGACCACCTCACTTCCTCCAAATACAGCACCGTATCCTATCGCAAGATCCGCAGAGGCAACACCCGCCAGAAGATAGAGGAGTTTGAGTACATGCTAATGAATTTGTAGAGAAGATGGGTTCAATGCCCCCTTAAGGAAAATAAAAACAGCTGGACATGACACCTAACAAATAAATGAGCATTAAATGAGACTGACAAAATATGGTACACAGCGTACATTTATTTGCTCTAAAATGTACTTGTATATCATATTGAAATTCTCTGATGTTAACTATTAAGGTCACACAAATCTTTCTAAATGTACTATTTATATCTGTTGTGCAGTATCAGAAAGGAGAGCAATGCCTAATGACGGTAAGAGATACTTTATTTATTTGATGATTTTACGATGGAAACATCTTGTTATGTGAGACAGGTATTTGATCAGCAGATAAAATAAATAAGAAGCTTGGGGCTTTATACTACTACTAGATGTTGTTTGTTATTAGAGCTTCAGTATCTTAACCTATGGAGTGAGACACTTGAGTGGCAAAACTATTAGGGTAGGTACTTTCAAGTGATTAACTAAACATGTACTTACATTTCCTAATGGCTGATGGATAAGATTAAAAGAATAAAGAGATACAACTATTAAGTATCTATCTTCAGCATTTGATTTTTACTTTAAGAAAATGCATTTCCACCCATATGTGGTTAAAGGGTTTGATAACAGGTCACAAAATCTTAAAATCACTCACAGGTTTATTGGGTGTTTTGAACCAACACTTCCCTCTAGTGATGAAGAAATTCATACAAAAGGGACATATTTTCACAACAAAACCAACACCTAAAAAACGCAGCTTTCAAAGAGGCAGCTGCTTCGCCCCATGTGCCTAACAAAACATAAAGTATGTCACATCTAAAAAAGATGTCTTACCAAAAACATGGGAGATTTTTTTTGTACAAATTAATAAATTCTACATTACATGCAATTTAATTAATTCCCATCAGAGCAAGCACACAACAACAACAAAAACACTTCTAACATCTCATATCTATGAGGCACTGTTTATCTTTGGCAGTGAAATGATAAGTTGTGCTCAAGGACAGATGGCGCGTTCTTCCATAGACACTCACTTGAAGCCCTTTAGTCTTTTTTTTCTCCAAATGAACAAACTCCAGTTCAAATCTTTATAAAAAGAGAGCGGATGCTCCCTTTCCTCAGGCACTAGTGTTTAAACTTAAGGTCAGTCCATGCTGATATAATAAGAATATTAGAAACATTGCACATCCCCACACCCTCCACTTTACTACACATACTACTGCCACCAAAGTGCTTTCCATCTCCTCTGGACAGTCGTGTGTTGAGGCTGGACCACCGGAAGCACCGAAGTGTGAGGCCACTGAAGGTCTCTGTAGTGCATGTTCGACACATGAAACTCGTTTCAGTCTCATCACTGAGTGTGGTAGTGTGTAAACTGCCACTTTTGGAAGGCGTTTCTGGGTTCACATGGGTTGAGGTGAAGAGTGTCACCCTGAGGCCCCGCCTCCAGGCACATGTGGTGGGAAACAACCTCAGCTATGAGGTGATCCGCCTTCACAAAGACAAAACAGGACACATGATTAACCTGTTGTTTGAAATATGTTTCACAGAGATTAAGAATTTCTAAAATGACAGAGTTGAGAAAGGACAGAAAAACAAATTATAGTAAACAGAGAAAACAGCACACCCAGAGTCAACCTACCAGAGCGGAGTTGGAGGATTTGTGGAACCAGCGGAGTTCAGGCTTAGTGCCGTCACATGATTGTAAAGAAATGCCGTTGCCCTTGCCCTGGGGAGCGACACACAAATCCTGCTGGCGAACGTGCCTCATCCAGGTGTAATTAAAGTGCTGACTCTGAATAGAGAGAAAGAGAGAGGGAGAGAGAGAGAAGAGTGACAAGAATGTAATTATGCTCCATGAAAACTGAAAGATTTTGACAGATGGTTCACCACATTTAGAAATCCAAAAAGACCACATTTAGAAACCACATTTATTTTGGCTTGGGTCCTGTCTTGGACTGATCCAGTTGTCCTGATCTAGGTCTGTTCCTGGATATTTTTGTTTTGCCCCCACCATAATTACCACACTCGAGAGGCCAAAACTGTACAATATGTGCATATTTTTCTCAGAAAATCTTTTAATCTGTTAAGACACCTACCTGCTTGGTGAGATCACATATCTCAAACAACAGAGAGCCTTTTTGCAGAGAGAGGCATTTTCTTAAGCCACGATTAAAGACCTACGAGGAAAAATTGGATAATTAAAATCTTACAGAAGTGGAAAAACAGCACAAAAACATTTGTTTACTTATTTAGAGTTGCGCATAAAAATAGGTCATGTTGCTGTTTTCATTTCCTTCAATGAATCCTCACAGAAAGCTGTCACATGCACATAATGGACAGCTATTCTTTGTACCAAAGGAGCACAATCAGTGTCTCTGTTTGGGTTGACATTGTTAAGGAGTTCTCAGCAGAGATAACAATAGCTTCATGGAGGGAAAACATAACAAGCTTGTTGTTTCTTGCTGTTCACATTTTTACAAAATGTAAACAAAGCTTATTCATCTACATACCAGGCCCTCAGCTTTGACTAAGTGAGCATCCATATCTGGATACACGTTGTCCAGGTACCACTTGAAGCTTTTGCAATTGAGCCTCTTTCTCAGCTCAATCTGCTCGGTGAGGTTGCCGATGTCTTTCCCCAGCAGGTGGTGGTAGCCGTGGCCGTAGAAAAGGTCCTTGTACTCGTCCAGCCAGACCTCTGCCACCCTTGCCAGGTTACGCTCCACTGTCTTCTGCCTGTCCTTCGGGAATTTGTAAGGATTTTGTCCTCGGAAGATGTGTCCCACTCGAGAGCAGGGAATAATCTCGATCTCTCCGCCGCACATCCAGATCTGTCCAAATGGCAACACGTAAGGATAAGGAGTCATGTGAGAGAAGTTCTGGGTGTTAAAGAATATTCTTAGGTGTCCTCATTGATGTAACAGGGAAAGGTAAGACATGTCTGGCTTAGAGTCATTAGCTGACCCCACAAGTGTTCACGGACCTTCCACCTCTATTTTATCTCTCATGTAACTGTCCTTGTTAGGGAGACAACAGTTTGAGTGATAAAGTAGAGACAGTAGCTCGGGTGTCAGGCTAGCATGTATCGGTGTTCTTCGGGAATCTCACAAGGTGGAGGCTTAAAAGAATTTTTACAAGAACTCACTGGCTCCACAGATTAGAGTACAACCACATGGGTGGTAATAGATTCCAATATGACGTAGCATTGGAGAATAATCACATAGATATGTTGTGCTAGGTTAAGGCCAGTTAAAGATGACCTAAGAGGGAAAACCTACAGGCACTAGGGGGAAGACAGAAACATAAAAGGGACCAAAAGATGTTATCCTTGAGATATGGTGTGTTCACATATTGTACACTGGCACTGCATCTCCTCAGCCGGGCTCAATAAACCAGCTATGTTATGTCTTCATCAGTCTCCGAAACTTCTTCACAACTGAACCTGGCTCACAATATTTCTTCAACACTGGGGAACTCCCAAACACTTGTCTACGTTAGATGAGTGACATACCTTAAATGAGATCTCCATGTTCTCCCCTCCCCACACATCCAGGCCTGGATCATAGGCGCCGAGCTCATAGAAGTATTTTTTGTCTATGGAGAAAAGGCCTCCAGCCATAACTGGACATCTGTAAGATACATTGAATAAATAAAATTGCAGCAGAAAGGATAATAAAATATGATGAGGAAAACTGACTCTTAAGCTACCTGATGGGATCTGCGACAGTCATGTTATTCTTCTTAATGTACTCGTCTGGTAATGCGCTCCAGCCAAACACCAAAGGCCATTTGAAAATACCCCTTTGGAAGTTGTCAACCAGCATATAACTGAGGAGAAAGAACCAGAGCAGAATGTTAAAAGGACATTTCCTGACGTTCAATATCACTGTAGAAAACGTAAATCACATCACATGTCCGTTACTCAAATATGGCAGTGTTGAGTCACCTCATGTCCTTATCACTGACAACTTCGATAACTGGACATGGCACCTTCTTGCGATCCAGATAGACTCTCTCCAACAGCGGCTCCAGCCAGCCCACGTTACATTCAACGTGGGAATCGAGGAAGGTAAGAACCTCACCTATGTTAGAGGAACGCAAACATCCTGCTGCAGTTAAACAAATACCCAGATTTACATTCTAACAGTGCAACCCTTGTTAACAAACAAACAAAAAAATAAGTATGCAAATAAGAGAGCAGGTGCAGGTTTCAATGTTGCTGCTCTCATGTTTCAGGGTGATTGTAGTTGCACCACACACACATAATCAGTTTGGATTTGCAAAAGATAGAGAGACTAGGTCACAGACTTGCTGAGCTTGATCTATTTAAAATGCACTTGCCTATGTCGATTTTGTCAATATTTACTAAACCAGAGAGTGAAGATTACACTGTTTATGTGTTCAGCGTGCACAGCAAATAGATGTTCACCTGAAAATGTCATCACATTATTTCAAGACCACTGGATTTCCCCCCCAGGCTTCCATTTAACAATCTTTTAAAAAGCTTTAATTAATAATTACTTCCTAATAATTAAGAAAGCTCATTTCCAGTTTCAGACAATTTCAAGAAGTGAAGAAACATGGCCCATATAAGTCTTTTTGAACTGAGTCCATATAGTTATAAGTTTGTACAGCCAAAGACAACCCACATTTCAAATTACAGAAGAATTGACATCTTGCACAACTCACACAGAACTGGAAAACTCTGCTGCAGTTTGAATAATACTAAGGATATGTCACATAAATATAGTATTAGCATTTAAATGCATCTCTCCCCTTAAAGACAAGGACACACATTTTCTTTGCAGAGCAAGAAGGAAGTAAAGACCTGTCCCACATAGACGTAGGTCCTAAATAAAGGCAGAGTGACTTCAGTGATCAAAGCAGATAAAAGCCCGAGCTATTAATATATAAACCACACACTGAAGATATTTTAATACAAAAAGTATTAGTCATAGCAGTGGGTACCTTTGGCTACAGCAGCTCCAGCCAGCCTGGCCCTGATCAGGCCCTGCCGCTCCTTCAGACGAATGATTCGCACTTTGGGAAACTGGGACATGTAAGCATCCAGCTGCCCTTTCAGATTTTCTGCCAGAACAAAACATTACAAAATTTTACAACTCCCACCATGAGTGTGAATAGTGGGAAAAGCAATCAGGTAAACTTGTTGTTCTCTCCTCTCCAAGTTTGATGTCAGCGTATAACAACAACAGATGGTTGATGTGCTAGCTTGCAGTCCACCCAGCAGTAATGTCCGCGGATGATTGTAGCGGGAGCACTGTGGTGTCATGGCGTGACAATAGCAGATGGTTTACACGGCTCACAGGTCAGCTAGGGTGGCCCCTTTGTGGAATTTTGCAAAGGCACCCAGGAAGTTGCATGTCGATTTAAGTGGTGCTCCTAAAATTTTCAGTTGTTTGCTACTAACTGGAAAAATCAGCCATGACGGTGCACTCCCTGACGACCTGAACCACTTCTTTGCTCTGCAGGGTGAGAGCTCATATGACACTGCCCAATGTACTCGCCATACAGCGCCAAAAAGGGGCACATCTCAGTAGTGTGGAAGAGGTTTGGTAACAAAGATCAGATGTACAACAAACCATGGTAATATGTAAGAAGTGTAAGAAAACTGCAACAACAAAAGTGGGCAATAGAACAAAGTTTATTGTCGTATCTATCATTGTCGCAGAAATAACCTGAAATATCATGATATTATTTTAGGGTATTTATTACTTTGTCACCACGTGGAGACGAATTCAAGGTGACCAGTGACGCATTCATGACACAGTTACCTTTGGTGCTGAAATCATCCACCAGAATGATCTCTTTGAGGAGGTGTGGCGGCGATCTGTTAAGCACACTGTGTACAGAGCGGAGCAGCGTGGACCACACTTCGTCCACGAAGCAGAAAATCACGCTGGTGGAAGGCAGATCATCATGGACCACATTCTGTGCACACCTGGAACAAGAAAATCAGAAAAAAGAAAAGGAGGCATTTAGCTTGGCAATCACAGCATTTTGAGAGGTAATATGTGAAAGCAGAAGACTCACATCTCAGGCCTGGTGTCGGGGATGGCACGGTCCACTGGGATCTGGTCACTCAGGTAGACATTGAAATGCCCTTCGTCCCATCTCTTCCTCACCTCTGCATCCTCGTTACTGGCAACGAGTGCCGCCTGGCCAAACTGGCCCACCGCGTTGGGATCCCTGGGAGCGTGAGTCATATCCAGAGAAAGCACTTTGTGGACACCTGGTTTTCTGACAGCAGTGGCGTTATCCTTGCCGTGCTCCCCTGCTATGAGCTTGATTGTGGGTTTCGGGGTTTTCTTCGCTGCAGTCAGATCACTCTTGGCCATCGTCCCAACGTGTTTGTCCTCTTTTTTAATATTTACCTCCTTTCTTTTTACATCCTTGTTGGGCGGTTTAGTTGTTGTAACAGGGTGTGTCTCCTCAGGCTGAAGCTGGCTCACTTCTTTCTTGACCTTTTTGTTTGGCTTTGAATCACTTTTGTCCAGTGTGTTTTGCACACCGTCTCCAGTTTTAATGGGTCCATTCTTTGAGATCAGTAGTGGAGCACGTTTGTTTTCCTGAACACCAGGCGGCACTCGGGTTAAAATGGACCCTACCACAGGTAACACCACTTTATTAGTGACATTGATTACTCTACTTTTCTCTAATTCTGTCCCATTCTGATCCAAGTTTACAGCTTTTTTCTTTGCAGAAATACCCTGCTTTGGTGTGACCTTTTGTTCGGCGGCTCCTCCTTTATGTTCAGAAACAACAAATTTAGTGGGGCCATTCTTGAGAAGATTACCTCCTTGGTGATGAAAAGAGTTTGTCTTTTGGTCCTGTTTTTTGCCTCCCTGTCTGTACACATCGGCTAGTTTGATTCCTGAACTGGGTGGTCCTTTCCCAGCACGTGTAACAGCCAAGTCTACCCTCTGAACAGGGTTTTTAAACCCCCTTTTCATCAGCTGTGTCACCCTGGACTGCTGCTTGAAAATCTCCCTTTCTCTTATCACTTTCTCCTTAAGCAGCTGACTGTTCACGTCGTTTATTGACAAACGAAGTGCAGCCATGTCAAATAGCAGCCAAATGACAGAGGCAATGAACACAAACGCGAGTACCCTCCCACTCCCCCTCAGGTACCTCCTAATCTTCATCATCCTCAGGTTTTAAAAAAAAAAAAAAAAAAGAGAAAGGGAGGAATTCCACGTGAAAATACAGAAAATGTCAAAGTATCATAACTTACTGTATGGGGCACATCTGAGTGGTAGGCAAACTTTTGTTTTCTTTGGAGAAGTTAGCTGCCTGCGTGGCATGCTAGCAATACTACACTGAGCAGCAGCTGTAGTCTGTGTTGTCAGTCAGATATACAGCAGGGTCTGACAGCCATATCGCAGCACAAAGCTACAATGTAATGTTATTTTCCACACCGCATCGCACCGCTCATCTCCAGCCGCCGGGAGACATTTAGTTTGTATGGCAAAAGAAATCACCAACTTCTTCGTCAGTCAAAGAAACTTGGCTAAAGTTTTCGGTTTCTTCGCTGAGTCTCCACGACACAACTTTGAGTGACACACGAAGGACGTAGCAACCAACTACCACCTTGTCTCAAACTCTGATTGGACAGACAGACAGGAAAAGTCTCGGCCTACACACTGGAGCGACCGGCAGGCTAGAGCGGCAAAGGAAGTCTGGCGTTAAACCTTCAAAATAAAGCATGCAGTTTTTAAAGAGGGCAGATGGGATGACTAATCTAAAATGCAAGTGTTCAGGTTTTTCAACTGTTAACCAGCCTCACGACGACGTCTATTACGTAAAGCTGTTCTGAAGCTAGATGAATGTTGTGAACTGCTGCTTGTCAAACTCAAGAATAAACAACATAGGAAAAAATGTGCTAGAAGAAATTTAAATATGAAGTAAAACTCTGGTAGCTGCTAAAGGATTCCTATGGTTACATAAGAAATAGTTTAACCCTACAGACAGTTGGTTTAATCAGACTTTATTTGGATATTTTTAAGGTAACATTTAAGCAACATTAAGAGGCAGCTTATCACCACAGACTAAGTGACTCTTGCAATTTATTTAAAAAGGGAGATATAAAATGTCCCGGTTACCAAAAGTCTGAGAGCACAGTAGCCTACGCCCAAAAGTAAAGTGTCAAAACAAAGCTATTTAATGAGAACTTTACTTTGTAGGTCTTAACAGGAAGCGATTCTCTGGAGTTATACATCTTGACGCTTACGTTGGCGGAAAGTGTAGCCAACATCAGCCTGCCAGTAGTCTTGAAACGGCAAGATACATGTTTAACTGAATGCTGTATGACTGATATGTGTCCAACTGGTTCACCACAAAATGTCATAGCCTACTCATTTGTTTGTTGTAGCCTCCTTTGTGTTAAGAAGTTGCCAAACCTGTATGAGCGACACTGCACACACCTTGTTATATTACCACTGTGATTAATCTGGAGTAACCCATCATGTGTGCTGTTGCCAATAATACTGAATGTAGGAGGAGTTAGGGCTAGTTTTTAATCAAGTTGAACCACATATTTTCCCACAATTTGAATGGATGAATTGTACCTGCAACTAAGGGTTATTTTCATACATTAATCTATGCTTAATTTTAGATAGAGTGATTAATCATCTAGTCTAGATAATGTCAATAGTGATATTTGAACTCACAAGTTATCAGCACAGAGTGATGTCTTCCTTCCATTGGCGTTTTTAGACTATATCTTTTTCAGTACCCCTAAATAGAATTAGGCTATTACAATGCTTAATTATTATTATTATGTTATTATTTTTACAAATTATTATTATGTTATTTATCAGTATTTTCTGAAATCATTTTTAGCCATCAAACTTTAGATTGGTCAAACTTGTCTGAGGGATTAATGCTTGCTCGTATTTATTCTTTTATACAATGTATTATTTGAGTTAATATTGACTTATCTTAACATTGTGTAGAAAATATTAATTTATTCTATTTAATAAATGTAGTTTTTTATACCTCATTCCGTTCTGTAGACGTCTACTTCTTAAACCGACATGTGGAGCAAACTGTTTGGAGGGAGGATTGTAGTGGGAGCACTGTGGTGTCAGGTGTGACTGTGTGACAATGGCTAATGGTTTAGGTGGGTCAATGGCTCACAGCTCAAGTAGGAGGGCCCCTCAGCAGAGTTTTGCTTAGAGCCAGGCTATAACCTTCAAAGGGACTACGGATGAAAATGAGCTCACGAGTTAACTCAGTCAACTTTACAGTGATATGTAAACTGGAATGTTGATTAATGCATTATCCCTGTTTGGTTGTTATGTTTGCCTTTTGGTTGACAGCACAAAGAAAGAAAGAGTCTTTGAATGTATTTTTGTGTCTTTTTAATGCAAGCAAAAAATGTTTTGAGAGCATATTTATAATTAAAATCAAATAGGCTTTTTTTGAGTCACAAAAAGTTTTAATTGCCAATTTGTCCTCTTTGATTGCAAGTCAAAATGTTTTCCTTGCCAGTCAGAAAGTTTTGCAAGTTAATACGTTTTGCAAGTGAGAGAGATTTGCAAGTCAAAAATGGTCAAAATAAGAGATCTATTGGTGGGTTTGACTGACCAATCATGGGTTTGCATCAACCGCATGGTCACGCCCACAACCCCCTCGCTCCGACGGCTCCGCGCTCAGCACTGCTAGAGACGGAATTGTTAGTGTAAAGGCTAGATAGAGGTAAGTTTACGTTATGTCGCTCATTTTCAATGGAAATGAGCGACATAACGTTTTTAAATGTATTATGGCATGATTTAATCATTATTTATATTTACCGTTCGGTCACGGAGTCTATTTGTCTCCTTTTTAAAGAATGACATGTATAACAGTTAGCTAACGTTAGCCGTCTTGGCATGAAGCTTGACTGGCACAGCATAACGTTATGTGCACTCAGACATGACTAGCTACGGTTAAGGTTAGCTACTCATGTTTAACACATTGTACATGATATCCAGCAAAACTAGTTTTCTGTGGCTATGGTAATCAATATATATTAGTCGGAGCGAGGGGGTTGGGGGGCGTGACCATGCGGTTGATGCAAACCATGATTGGTCAGTCAAACCCACCAATAGATCTCTTATTTTGACCATTTTTGACTTGCAAATCTCTCTCACTTGCAAAACGTATTAACTTGCAAAACTTTCTGACTGGCAAGGAAAACATTTTCACTTGCAATCAAAGAGGACAAATTAGTAATTAAAATTGTTTGTGACTTTAATTAAAAACTTGATTTTTGATTGCAGTGCAATAAATATGCTGTCAAAAAATGTTTTTGCTTGCATTAAAAAGACACAAAAATACCTTCATACGCAACAACCACAATGTTCATACTTTACACTTAAGTGCATGTTAAATTAATGAATTAGTGCTTCAAAAGTTCACATCCGTAACGAGCTCTGTAACGGTTCAAGGACAGATCGCCATGTAAATGACTTCAAACTCGGAAGCTTTAAGTGTTCTCCTGTTTTGTGTTGTTTGATTATTTATTTTAGAGGTTAGCTAACTTGGCGTTAGCATATTGCGCGGCTAATGTGGCTAGCAGGCTCGGCGATGTTGGACTAACATTGTGATCCTGAGGGACAGTCGAGAGAATCTGTGAACGGTAAGCCTCATTTGAACGTCCCTAAGTGTAGTGCTTGCAGCTGTTTTTCATGTTGCTTTCTGTGGAAATTTAGTTATAATGTTATTACAGCGCAATGGTTAGTTGTGGACAGTCATTCTGCTCCGCACCGGTGTTTGCGTGTGTGCGTGCACGTGCACGCGTTGTTGCTGCAGTATGTAAATTGACTTGATAGACATGCCCTGAAGGTAAAGATATAGCTAACGTTAACGTTACGTTGTGAAAAAGACACCTACAAAAATGAGTTTGCTTGGCAATGTTGAGTAGCACCCAGCAGCTAGCTTGCTCTGATCATAAAGCTGCTGTTAGCGGTTCGCTGTACAGTGAGGTGAGATCCACAAACACTCTTACTATGCTAAATGGCACCAAATTACTTTATTGAGGAAAAATTTGATAATACCGCATACCTGCTGTTGAGTCCCAACTTATTACCACGGGGAAATTACTTCACCGTGACAGCCCTATTGACCAACAACTTTATACATTTAAGGTGGAGATCTGATGAAAAAAACTTTTGGTTTCCCCAACGAGTCATAATGGGAATTAGACCTGTTTTTCTGCTGTTTTTGTCAAATAATACAATTGTAAACAGCAAAGAAAATATTTTAAGGCTGCAACTACCTAACAACTGATTTTTTAAATGATTGTTTATGCTGGTGGGGGTGGTGATGGTACAGTGGATAAGATACATGCCATTAGTGTGAGAGACCTAGGTTCAATCCCCCACTGTGACCTATCCACCATTGTGGTCCTGAGCAAGATATTTAACCCCTGGTTGCTCCAGAGGCATGTGACCTCTGACATGTATAGCAATTGTAGGTCACTTTGGATAAAAGTGTCAGCTAAATGTGATCATTTTCTTGATGAATTGATTAATCTTAAAAAGCCCAAGAACACCAAAATATATTCAGTAATATATAAAACCGGGAAAAGAAGCAAATCCTCACATTGAAACCAGAAAATGGTTGGCATGTTTTCTTGAAAAATGACAATCAATAAATGATCAAAACAGTTGCTGATTACATTTCCATCAATCTACTAACTAATTCATTGGTTTGTGTGTCAGAGCATTTGATTTATTGATTGCTGTCAGGATGAGAATTTCAACAAATATAACAAAAAATGTTTCTGAAATAAATTGCCTGCCCCAACTTTATTGATGAAACAAAATAACAAATAAATGAAAAACAAGCCAATCTTGATATGTTCTGGTTTGCTGATGGGAAACTGGACAATGCCCTGAAAACGACAATAACTATGCACCTTTTTATACAGTTTTACCACACATCTTTGGTAGTAACATTTGCACACTACCAAACATAGAAACAGAATAGCTTCCCCAATGAACATTTAAGTGAGACTGTCAATACCCTAAAATTTTAATATTTTTCACACACACACATGTACATGTACTGGCACACACACGTGTACAGGCACACATGCACAATCACATTTGTAAAACCTGTGTTACTGCAGCCATTAGGCAATGATTAGTGAAGGCGACGACAGGTTTTCCTCTTCATCAGCAGGTCTCTCCTGGGAGTCCCATTGGCTCCATCCAGCCTATTAACAGTCCCCAACATGAGGAGGGAGGGGAGTTGTACCTCCCATGGTGGCTGCCCTTAGCCACACTACACACGCTTTCATTAGTGTGTTAGCTAAATGATTGGCCTCAGGATAGCCCCCGAGCCCTGCAATGCATGTGTTAGCTTATATGTTCCAACCACTGGGCAATTTATTCATTTATTCATCCATTTCTGCATTCACACTCATGATGGCATCATTTGGTAAATTTGATTGTGTTTTCTCTAAACCAGAATGGACACGGGGTCGGGAAAAACACTAGCAAGACAGAGGTGACGGAGCATATAGCAGTGAAAGTCAATCATCAGTGTGTAATTACACAGGATTTCATTCATGGTGCGTTACCTGAAGTGAAACAATGTGCAAACTTATAGGTG